CTGGTGGCCCAGGCGGCGAAGATGTGTACAAGGTGTGAGATGTGTGAGGATGGGAAGTTGAGCCAGTGCGCCCAAGTTAAGACCTCCACAGGAAAGTTGCTTCACTTTACCCACCTAACTCGCCCTAACTCACTAAACTGTGATCTATCTGTTCTCCGGCGGGATTTTTATGACGGGTGGTGGTGGCCGGTGGTGGTGGTGGTGGTGGTGCTGGCGGCCGGTGGTGGTGGTGGCCGGTGGTGGCAGTATTGAGCGGCCCAGGCAGGAGTTTCAACACCGGGCAGGGAGAGGGGTGAGGGTGAAGTGCTCTGACCGAGCATAAAAATACATTGATGTTGAATAAATTGCTGGGTTATGTTGCGGGCGGGCACCGAGGTACCTTTCATGTCCAGCAAGATCCTCAATGTCGAATATCTTACTCCATTGTTCCGCCAATATGTTCACTCGGGCTCTTACATATATATATATATATATATATATATATATATATATATATATATATATATATATATATATATATATATATATATATTTCTCCAAGTATTGCACAACGTTGCAGATGCAGTCTTGACCTGTAAAATACCGAACATTATGTCTTCAAAACGAGTGTAGTTGGAAGCGGGCCAGTCAAATTTGTAGCAATATCTTGCGACAACAGCTGTGTGAAGTGTTGGTTTATCTTCGCCTCACACACACACAGTTCTTGGGGTATGTTAGTTGTTTGAGGTGAATGTTGCCATGAGAGCACTGGCGGTCGCCAGCTGCGGTGTGACACCATCTGGAGCTGTCGTTGTGGTGCAGCACTCGGGATTATTGTGTTTAACCTCCCGGAGTTGTTTCAGGGACGACCACACATTCAACACCGCTCCTGGGCCAGTCCACTACGGGCTCACCATAGACCGTGCTACTTGCCCCGCTCCTGTGCCGGGTAAGTCCACTACGGGCTCACCATAGCCCGTGCTACTTGCAACTTGTTCCGAGTAGCTGAATCTATAACAACAACACCCTGCAGGTGTGTGAACACGGTATAGTTGTGGTTGGTTGGTGGGGGGGGGGGGTACCTTACCTTGAGGTGTTTTCGGGGCTTAGCGTACCCGCGGCCCTGTCGTCGGCTAGGCCTCCTGGTTGCTAAACTGGTCAACCAGGCTGTTGGACACGGCTGCTTGTAGACTGACGTACGAGTCACAGCCTGGTGATGATGAAAGTGGTGATGACAGTCCTTATACAGTGGACGCCATCACTGGCCCACCTGCAGGACGACCACTACCCACGACGATAATCACCTCGTGCGAGTTATGCAGTTTCCCAAAATATTACCCCCCCCCCTTCCTAAGAAGTTTGATTGGGCAGCTTTCAAATACTTTTCTTGAGTGTTCAACATGAACAAGAATAATGACGTCTGACGACCTAACGTTTAGGGAGCATGACCAAACAGATATAGCGCCAGCTTGAACAATTATAGAATGAATTTTCTGAACCTTTAAATCCAGGGATGCCATCACAATGTTGTTGTTGTTAAAGATTCGCTACCTGGAACAAAAAGTTCTAAGTAGCACGGGCTATGGTGAGCCCGTAGTGCCTTTTGGCTGTACTACTCTAATCACTTGTTCTGTTCCGCTTTGAGTACTGCTCAATATTCACTCCCCCCTTCAGAGCGGGAGAGGTTGCTGAAATAGAGGGAATACAGAGACCATATACGACATACATAGACGCAATAGAGCAGCTGAACTATTGGGATCGTCTAAAAGCTCTCACAAATATTCAGTCTGTACAGGAGACGAGACTGTTTGTTGTTTAACATTCGCTACTTGGAACAATAAGTTCCAAGTAGCACGGACTATGGTGAGCCCGTTGTGGACTTACCTGGCACAGGAGCGGGGCTGTCTGTGGAGACGAGACGTGCATCATATAATATATACATGGAAGATACTGGAAGGTCAGGTCCCAGATTTACTCGGTCAAATAATAAAATAAAGCGAATGATATGGAAGGAAGTGCACAGTATATGCAGAGTAGAGGCGTCATAGGATTAATCAGGTTGTAGTGGATATATGGACATGCGGGCCGCTCCAAGCAACAGTCGGTTGGACCAAGCTCTCTCGGGTCAACTTTAACGCTTAAGGTCACAGATGATGATGATTTTTGGTGTTGGGTTGCCTTATCTTGGGTTTATCTTCCGTAAGTTGCGAGGATCAACGTCCCCGCGGCCCGGTCTCTGACCAGGCTGTAACTTAGAAGTTACAGATGCAGGCGATGAGTCGCAATAACGTGGCTAAAGTATGTTGACCAGACCACACTAGAAAGTGAAGGGATGACGACGTTTCGGTCCGTCCTGGACCATTCTCAAGTCGATTGAGAATGGTCCAGGACGGACCGAAACGTCGTCGTCCCTTCACCTTCTAGTGTGTGGTCTGGTCAACTTAGAGGTTACAGAGCTCGCAGCCTGACGTATGACTCACAGCCTGGTTGATCAAGTATCCTGTGGTGGTGTTCATCAAGTTCTCGTTGTGAACACGGCGAGAGGTCGGCTAGTTATGCAGCCCGAAGGTTTCCCAACGTCAAGAAACTCTCGTACTAAGGTACCCGTATCCTAACCTACCAAATGACCCAAAACAGAAAACGGGACAGTATGTCAGTTTCGCGAGCCGCTGTTATTTTCCAGTACGACAGTTTTTCCCCATAGGTAGACTATACGTCAAAATGTATACGCTCTATTAGGAGGACGGGTTGAGTTATGCCTCTAAAGTTGTTACGGGCTCACCATAGCCCGTGCTACTTGAAACTCTTTGTTCCAGGTAGCGAATCTTAAACAACAACAACAACAGTTGTGTGTAGAGGAAGAGTGATAGCCTGAGGGAGCCTGACAGCTGAGTGGACAGCGCTTCGGATTCGTAGTCCTGAGCTTTCGGGTTCGATCCCCGGTGGAGGCGGAGACAAATGGGCAAAATGTTTTTCACCCTGATGCCCCTGTTACCTAACAGTAAATAGGTACCTGGGAGTTAGACAGCTGCTACAGGCTGCTTCCTAGGGATGGAGGCCTGGTCGAGGACCGGGCCGCGGGGACACTTAAGCCACGAAATCATCTCAAGATAACCTCAAGATAGAGAGTCTTGGCCCCTTGATGCTGATACATTCAGCAAACCCATCGCACAGTATTGGATTTTGATCAGCTGGTCTCGAAATTGTTGAGGATTTGTATCTGCTGACTTGTATACAAAGATAATATTGTGTATTGGCAGTTCCAGTTATGACTTCACCACCACTGCTTCCTCCTCTTCCTCAACCTCAAGGCCAGATTCAGTAAAGAATTTCAACGTCAGAATAGTTATCTTGAGGTTATCTTGAGATGATTTCGGAGCTTTTAGTGGCCTCCACCCCCAGGAAGCAGCCCGTGACAGCTGACTAACACCCAGGTACCTATTTTACTGCTAGGTAACAGGGGCATAGAGTGAAAGAAACTCTGCCCATTGTTTCTCGCTGGCGCCTGGGATCGAACCCGGGACCACAGGATCACAAGTCCAGCGTGCTGTCCTCTCGGCCGACCGACTCCCCTAGTTCATGAATACATAGTCCAGTTCTGTTCATGTTCTTCCAGACATGGGAACCCCCCCTCTCACCCCCCCCCCCCCACCACCACTCAGTACCCCCACAGACAACCCCGCCCCCCCTTCACAGAGAAACCCCCCCCCCTTCACAGAGAACCCCCCCCCCACAGAGCCCCCAGCAACTTGCTGTGCTGCACAAATTGTGTGCAATAAATATGCATGTGTTTGGACCTGCATAGCCAGGTGACACACCACGTTTTAATCTGTGTGTACTCGCCTAGTTGTACTCACCTGCGTGTGCCTGCTCTCCTAGTTGTGCTTGACGGGGTTGAGCTCATATGTGGTATGCAAGGTGCTAAATGATTCCATACCTGAATTTCTAACGATTGTTCTTATGTTGGCCGCCCTTAAATATGGGGCTACCTTGAGGTTATCTTAGCTGGGGATATCTTGATGATGTGGGCGTCAGGGGGAACAAGCTCGACGGTATGATATCAACTCCCAGATTCTTGAAGGTTTTCATCTCCTAAATGGTACCGTGTGGGACCGGCCGCCGCCTCCCTACACCTTTTTCTGCATTACTTCATACTTGCGTGTGATGGAGTCCCTGTGAGCGCAGGCGCGCCCCCTGTGTACATACCAGTGTGTCCGATTGATTGATTGATAAAGATTAAGCCACCCAAAAGGTGGCACGGGCACGAATAGCCCGTAAGTGGAGGCCCTTTTGAGCCATTACCAGTATCAATAGATGATACTGGAGATCTGTGGAGGTGCGACTGCACCCTGCGTGACGGAAGATGTCTCCCGTGCCAGTGTGTCCGGTGTCTTTGTGTATATAAACGCGCAGGAGGGAGGGAAGGGAAAGGGAGGGAAGGGAAAGGGAGGGGAGGAGTAGGGTAGGGAGGGACTGTGGGGGAGTGGGGCTAGAGAGGGTGGAGGGATGTGAGGCACACGTGTGGAGGTGCAGGTGAGGGCATCACCACAATAAGCACACGAGGCAGCAACCACCACCACCATACATCTTAATGAACCACTTGACCAGGAAGCTCCTCCACAGTTCCAGCCCCGCTCCTGTGCCAAGTAAGTCCACTACGGGCTCACCATAGCCCGTGCTACTTGTTACCTGGCACAGGAGCGGGGCTGTAACAAGTAGCACGGACTATGGTGAGCCCGTAGTGGACTTACCTGGCACAGGAGCGGGGCTGTAAGTCCACTACGGACTCACCATAGTCCGTGCTACTTGCCACTTTTGGTTCCCAGTAGCTGAATCTATAACACCAGCAGCAGCAGCAGCAGCAGGAAGCCCTATTGCAGAGCTTGGTGCGGGGAAGGGGGATGGGGAATATTTTATAATTTATAATTTACATTCATAAGCTCTGTGGGCGGCATTAGGAACTTATTTTAATACATTATATCTGTCACGCTGTTAATAACATGGGTTTTTGTTTACTCCAGAGTGGCGTGTCGGCAGGCGAGGCTGGGCCCAGGTTCGAGCCCCAGGTGGCGATGGTGTGCGCCGGCCGCAGCCACCAGTACCACGCACAGTACATGACCAAGACAGGACGCTGGGTAACCGACGCAGACTCCAAGGTCACGTGCCTCAAGGATAAGGTCGACATACTACGCTACTGTAAACAGGTGAGACACGCGCTCCTTAATTAACCTCTTGGTTGCTTATCTCCGCTCCAGCATCTCCAGAAGGGACTTGAAGGTCTTACCTGGCCCTGTCGGTACCCAGGATCAACGTCCCCGCGGCCCGGTCTCTGGCCAGGCCTCCTCATTTGTCGTCTGGTCAGCCAGGTTGACGTATGAATCATAGCTTGGTTGATCACGTATCCTTTTGAAGGTTTGTTTTTTATCTTCAAAACGATAAAATAGTGTTCAGTGTTCTTTAAAACGGTATTCAGTACTTTGACAGACTTCTTCCTTGTTCAACTTTACCAGGTGTTCCCCTAGATCCTGTTTCTCGGCACCATTCACCCCTCGACCCTTCACTACATTCTTTTGGCTTCCTTCACTCATTCATTCGGCCTGATAAACCTTTTACTCTCACTCATTCTCTTGTCCTCCTCATTCCCTCATCGTTCTCATGCTCTTCACCAGCCGCGTAAATTCTCCCGTGTTCTGGAGAAGGCTGGAGTCTTCATGTTGACAGTAAGTCGTCGCATATATAATGAAGCTTTCCGGTGTGGGATATAGCTAGGGAGGAAGGAGCAGGTGTGTGGCTAGATGGTGGTGGTGTGAGGAGACGGCGGCAGCTGGAGGTCTCCAGGTGAGAGGATGTGTGTGTGTACTCACCTAATTGTACTCACCTAATTGTGCTTGCGGGGGTTGAGCTCTGGCTCTTTGGTCCCGCCTCTCAACTGTCAATCAACTGGTGTACAGATTCCTGAGCCTATTGGGCTCTATCATATCTACATTTGAAACTGTGTATGGAGTCAGCCTCCACCACATCACTTCCTAATGCATTCCATTTACTAACTACTCTGACACTGAAAAAGTTCTTTCTAACGTCTCTGTGGCTCATTTGGGTACTCAGCTTCCACCTGTGTCCCCTTGTTCGCGTCCCACCAGTGTTGAATAGTTCATCCTTGTTTACCCGGTCGATTCCCCTGAGGATTTTGTAGGTTGTGATCATGTCCCCCCTTACTCTTCTGTCTTCCAGTGTCGTAAGGTGCATTTCCCGCAGCCTTTCCTCATAACTCATGCCTCTTAGTTCTGGGACTAGTCTAGTAGCATACCTTTGGACTTTTTCCAGCTTCGTCTTGTGCTTGACAAGGTACGGGCTCCATGCTGGGGCCGCATACTCCAGGATTGGTCCTACATATGTGGTGTACAAGATTCTGAATGATTCCTTACACAGGTTCCTGAACGCCGTTCTGATGTTAGCCAGCCTCGCATATGCCGCAGACGTTATTCTCTTTATGTGGGCTTCAGGAGTGTGTGTGTGTGTGTGTGTGTGTGTGTGTGTGTGTGTGTGTGTGTGTGTGTGTGTGTGTGTGTGTGTGTGTGTGTGTCGTTAAACAGATGTTGTAACGGCGGTGCCTGGCCTTGTCGAAGCCAGAAAGAAGTCCTCGTTGTTCGTGAAGGCGAGAGAGGTGGACGGTCGACTGCTTGATAACACACAGGGGGACGGTCGACGGCTTGATAACACACAGGGGGGACGGTCGACGGCTTGATAACACACAGGGGGGACGGTCGACGGCTTGATAACACACAGGGGGGACGGTCGACGGCTTGATAACACACAGGGGGACGGTCGACGGCATGATAACACACAGAGGGACGGTCGACGGCTTGATAACACACAGGGGGGCGGTCGACGGCTTGATAACACACAGGGGGACGGTCGACGGCTTGATAACACACAGGGGGGACGGTCGACGGCTTGATAACACACAGGGGGGACGGTCGACGGCTTGATAACACACAGGGGGACGGTCGACGGCTTGATAACACACAGGGGGACGAGGCCCCTCCACCACCCACACCTCCAGCGGTATTGATTTTACAAGGGCGGGAGACTATGTTTTGTGAGTGAATAAAGTGTAATTACCTAAGTGTAGTTACAGGATGAGAGCTAAGCTCGTGGTGTCCCGTCTTCCCAGCACTCTTTGTCATATGTATGTGTGTGTGATTGGGAGAAAACTTGGCTGGTTAGCAGGTTAGAAATGAATAACTTGAGCCAGATACAGACAGGAAGGCTCAGGGCGCAGAAAGGACCGAGGAATATGAAATATTATTATTTTTGTGGGGGGTGGGGGGGGGGGGGAGAATTTCAATTAGGTTCATCTTACGGCGGCTGCCTCGGCTCTATCGTTGCGGCCATCCAATTTTCCTCTCGGTCTGCCAGATTGCAAAATAAGCAAATCTTGCATTAATATGATTACTTGACTACCCTTTTTTTTTATCTTAGAGGTGCGGGTCCGCTTACGACGGTGGTGGGAGTGGTAAGAGTCTCTCTCCCTCCCCTTCCACCGTCACTGTCCGTCCCTTTTCCCCTGTCCATCCCTTTTCCCCTGTCCATTCCTTTTTTTCCCCGTCCATTCCTTTCCCCCCCCCCCGTCCATTCCTTTTTTCCCCGTCCATTCCTTTTTTTCCCCGTCCATTCCTTTTCCCCCCCCCTCCCCGTCCATTCCTTTTTTCCCCGTCCATTCCTTTCCCCCCCCCCCCTCCCCGTCCATTCCTTTTTTCCCCGTCCATTCCTTTCCCCCCCCCCCTCCCCGTCCATTCCTTTTTTCCCCGTCCATTCCTTTTTCCCCCCGTCCATTCCTTTTTTCCCCATCCACCCCTTTTTTCCCTGTCCATCCCTTTTCCCATCATTGTGTGGTGGTGGTTGTGTCAGGAGGGCGAGGAGTCTGCTACTATAACCTGCACACATCCACATTTCTACCACTACATGTTCCTCCGCCCGTACCTCTCCCTCTTCTCTCTCTCCAAGCTGTAGGAGTGTTGAGAGCAGAATATTTGCTCTGTTGGAGCCATAGTAGTTAATAAGGTAAGGTATGGTGATTAATGAGGGCTGCAGTGGATATGTGGGCCGTTCCAAGCAACTGCCTGTTGGACCAAGTTATTACACGCCAAGCCTGGCCCCGAGCCGGGCTCGGGGGTAGAACAACTCCAGAAACCCTCTGCAGGTATGCTCCTGGTATGAGGAAACGGTACACCAGAACGAGTAGCAGCACCTGGAATGTGTATGAGGACAAGGGGCTGGGATATGAGGGGTGGAGGAAAGGAACGGTGCTGAGCCACGCGGATCATCAGGGATGGAACTCGGGCGTGCAAGAAGGGAAGCCGGCGGCGTACCGGCCAGTTCAAGTGGATGGGGGAATATAGTGTGGTAATAGAGACCTGGTTATCTTGAGTGTATAAACGTGATATAAGGTTTTGGCGACACCTCTCACGTCTCGTGGTGCATGTTGTGGTGTGGAGGGTGAGAGTCATGTGAACAGTTACACCTCTCCGCTTACGGCTTGGTCAACCAGGCTGTTGGTACCTACACCTCCGGTTAATCGCGATTTTCCTTCGGCAGTCGATAAACTGTTTTGTTTAATGGTGTAGTAGGGGTTTTCACCAATTTTTTTGAGTGGTGAAAAGGCATAGATGGGCCTTTTCCATTTGTTTTATAAGTTTAATATTTACGTTCCATGCGGAAGAGCCGAATCACGCATCACAGATTGTGCATACACCCCATCCCTCCTCCTGCTGCTCTCTCTCTCTCCTGCTCAACCTGGTGAAGGGTATAACCCTTCAAATGGTGAAGGGTTATACCCTTCAAATGGTGAAGGGTTATACCCTTCAAATGGTGAAGGGTGGTGAAGGGCTGGAAGCTGGTGAAGGGTTACATCCCTCCACCCCCACCCACCCGCTTGGGGGGGGTGGGCGGGGTGGAGGGATATCGCACGCCAACGACACCAGAGACCAGTTGGGTGTGGCTGGCTACAGTCCTTTTTAGTGCCATACAATAGAGCGCGGGGCACAGGTAGGTGTAATACTTTTGGGCCAGAGCTGCCTGGAGTGATTTATTCTGCTGGGGGAGTAAGTCACGATTGTAAACCTAACCTGTTTGGTAAATATTTGTGTCCATGCAAGCCGAGTGGGCATCACACTGGCCTAGTGTTTATATGGTCCCGAGATCAATTCCCGTAGAGGAAGCTGTGCTGTTTCAAATTTGGTTTAGAGGAGTTTCTAGTGTATAACCATGTGGCCAGCGGCATGTCGTAAACCCCGGTTGGTTCACAGGTATCCTACGAAATTGGGAGATTTACCTCCCGTTCTTACAAGAACGGAAGAGGGGGGAGGACCGTGGAGAGGGGGAACCTGCTGCATGGGTAACAGCTTCTCCCCCGTATCAACCTACCCAGGCTTTGCGCCCTGGTGAGGCCACTCCAGACCGACAACCGGAGCGCAACTCCATAGTCTCCCGAGACTGATGAATGCCTAAGCACCTCCCTGACGAATAGCCTAAGCTACTCTATCCCTTTGAGATGTATTTCTTTCTTGTCTCAATGAACATACTTGAACTTGAACTAGCCTGGGTAAGGAGTCATCAACCATTGACACATCCACTTGCGAAACCTGTACATCTTGCCCTATTCAAGGCGCCTTGCCTATGCTTTCTTTACATTTTTTAAATAGTGTGACCTCTGGAGCGCTATGAGCTGCATGACGATAATAACCTTGGGGTTGTGACGTTTAAACTCAAACAGCTTATTAATACAAGTAAACAAAGCCGCCATAGTTCAGGAAAGATGTAGAGACTTCGTAAGTGGTAGAGTAAATACCTGATGACCCGGTCCCTTGGAGTTTAGTTATCATTAATGAAAACCTTAACTTTTATTGCCCCATTCTGTACCCATCCTGACAGCCGTAGAGAAAAGGTTAGAGACATAATGGGCTCGGGGATAGAGCCCCATAATTCATTTAGCTAAGCAGATTATAGCCTTATTTAAGCTAGTAAGATAGTTTGTTAACATTTAACAAGTCTTTTGTAGTACAAAATGGGCTCAGGTGAACCCCAATTTTTTTTTTATTTGTTTATGTCGCCCAGCAAGTGAGAGCGAGGATAAGCAGCCTACTGGCTAGGGGCTAGATTCACGAAGTTACGCAAACACTTACGAACCTGTACATCTTTTCTC